GGCGGGCGGGCCGTGCGGTGTCCTGTGCCAGTGCCCGGTGCCCAGTGCCCCGTGCAGTCCCCGCACCCGACGCGCTGCTCCCTACTAGCGCCCGGGTCCCACGCTCGGAGAGCCTGGGTGCTCCGGCGGTTTTCAGTGTCCTACAGCTTGACCCGGCCACTCCTGCAAGGACAGCAGTACTTCCAGCCCGAAACTGTGTGCACAGGGCTCCCAGAAGCGTCCCGTGTAGTCCCCACCTTGGCCGTTTCTACTTGGGAGGTGGGAGTAGGGGTGATTTCCACTTTCTTCGGAGCCTCAGGAGAACTCCGGAAAATAGGTTATTTGAGTGGAGAGAGTGACTCCAGCTGCTCTGCTCACCCCAGCACGCACTCTGCCCTCCCTCACCCCATCCCACCGCCCTCTGAAGGCACTGGCCCACTGAGGGTACACTGAGACTGTCCCTCTCTGGCACACGGCGGGGCCTGGAGGCAGCAGAAACTGTTCATTCCCTGCGGACCATTAAGGGTATCTTCAGGGCAGCCTAAGAGATGAAGGAGTCTGAGGTCAAGTGAGCCATCAGGAGACAGCCCCAACTTCCCCTGGGGCACAGGTGGCACCTGTGACCACGGGAACTCACAAACATCGGGTCTGGCCCTGTGCAAATGCAGGCAGTGCCTGCTGCCTGGCCTCTAGATGGGACTCTGAGACGGTCCTTACGAGGGGACAGCACTCTGGTCTTCCTGTCCCCCAAGGCTCAGGTGGCTGGAGCCCACCACTCCCTGTCACTCCAGAAACAAAGGTAACAGCAGCTGCCAGATGCAATCAAAGGCCATGCTCAGGGGTACTGAAGTTCTTCATTGAGCTTCTCTGTACTTACCCAGTTCTCTCCTATGATTACACTCAGACATACGTATTTCTGTTTCCTGCTCTCCCTCGCCCCACCCCGCTGCCCTCTGAGCACACTGGTCCACGGAGGGTCCACTGAGGTTGTCCCTCTCTGGCACACTGCTGGGCTTGGAACTGCAGCAGAAACTATTCATTCTTTTGGTGATTAGGGGGGAAAAAGTAAAAATAACAACAACCAAAAAAAAACCCCACCTAGCTCATGGACAAAAATACAGATGTCTTACGGGGGCCCATCCATCACACACACCTCCTGCCCTCCGCACCCTGGCGCCCCTGTCTGCGCCCCAGCACTCTCACTCCCCATGGGCCCAGGCCAGGCCTGCCTCTCTGGAGTGTCACTAGTGCTGCTGTTCGATGGACAATCTGAGAAAATAACTTTTTTTGTGGTTGTTTTTCTTTTGACCTTTTCATCCCAGTGAAGGCAGGCAGGTTGCATCTCTTTTTCCATCTCTTGCTCCTCCTTCCCACTCCCTTTTGTTTGGTGCAGAGAGAGACTCGGCTATTTCTAGTCATAAGGGTGGTTTTTACACATTTGTAAATCTTCGCTTGGTGAACCGTCCTCTCCGCCTTTGTCTTTGTGTCCTTAATGGCAGCCTTAAATTACCGCTTTCTTTTCTCACCGCTGCATCAAGCTTCATTGCTTTTGAAATGATCAAAGTTATTTCTTTTAAAATCCAACTCCAAACTGCCCATTGTGAGGCACAGACCTCTTCAGCTCCAGTCAAAGCATATAAATACATAAAGCTGCCCATTAAACTCGAGGGGCGCCTCCCCCAGACCCCTTGTGCATGGTAAAGAAATCAGACATGTGCTGTTCTTTCCCTTCACCATTTCCCCAAGTTTGCATTTCAGAAAGAGCACGATTAATAATAATGAGTCCCATTGCTTTTTTGCTCGAGAGGGTCAGTTTTTGTCATGTTTCCTGGAAAAGTTCAGCAAGGACACCGATCTCAAAAAATGTTCCGAGTCCAAACACGCTCTCAGCTGGTTGGCTCCCAGACTCCTCCACAACCTCAGTACGCGGCTTACAAATGGGGATTTCCATGGGGCAAAGGCTCCAGGGAGAAATGGTGTGCAAATACCAATGTCTTCAGTGCTTTTAGCTTCAGCGAGGGCTAGGCTGGCCCTGTACTAGCTGCCGGCTGCCCTCTATTGTCCAGCTGAGGTGCCCACAAACTACTCAGAAAGGGCACAAGCATGGCTCCTGGACTGCGTCTAAATCTCTCTCACGCTCTCCATCCCCAGGCTAGGAGGCCTTGAACCAGGACAGAGGCAAGAGGGAGCCCAGTTAGCCCTGTCTGGCAGGTGCGATCTGGCAAGTCCGAAGTGGCAGCCCTGGGTGGCCCCTGAACTACATATAACTCAGTGAAACTCTGCATTCACCAGCCGCCTTTCCTGTCTCCTCGGCAGCCTGAGAGTTGTCAACTAGACTACTTCCTTCTTGTGTGTCCACACCCTCCCCATGCTTTTCATCACAGCAGGCGAGCTCCTGGTGTTCCTCCTACCTCTCAGGAAATGCCTTCTCCATCGTTTTCTTGGGATCTTCTTTCTATACCCTCTCTCAGGATTGCTCACTCCTGATTTCATAAGATAAAGCTTGGATCCAGCCCCTAAGCTTCAGTCCCATGTATTTGCCTACTGGATACTACTTCAATCTCTTGCAGGGCCCTCAGATTCAGCATGTTCCAAATGGAGCACATCTTCTTCCTCCAACCCGTTCCTTCACAAGTGCTCTCGCTTTTAGAGAAAGGCGCCGTCATTCTGCCGACACCAAGTCAGAGTCTTGGCAGTCATCCTTGATTCCGTTCTCTCCCTACCACATTCAAACAATCGCGTCAGTCCTACCTTGTCGCCATCTCTCAAAACCATCCTCTTCCTCCTCACCTATTGCCTGAGCTCAGAACCCCATCAGCCCTCACCTAGCCTGTGGCCCCTACTTTGTGGTTTCCTATTGATCTCCCAGTCTAGAATCTCATCCCCTTTCAGCAAATCTAGCACAGTGGCTACCAGAGGGAACTGTAAATTTCGTCTGCTCACTCCCAGTCTTCCTCAAAACTCCCTTGGTACAACCACTCTGGAGAACTACCTACTAAAATCAGACATGCCTACCTAGTTCTGGGTATGTACCCAAGAGAAATGAATGCATGTGTTCACCAAAAGACATGTACAAGAATGTGCATAACAGCTGTATTTACACCAGCACAAAACTGGAAACCACACAAGTGTCTGTCGCCTAGAGAATGAACCAATGGTGGAATATTCATTCAATGGACGACGGAGGAACAATAAAAACGACCAAACTGATACGTGCGGCAACACAGAGGCATTTCATGAACATTATGGTTAGTGAAAGGAGCCGGATACAAAGGGCTCTTATTGCCTAAGTCCACATCTATGAAGTTTAAGAACAGGCAGAACTGGTTAATAGTGATAGAGGCCAGGATGGGAGTTCCCTCTAAGGATGAGTTTTGACTAGGAAGGAGCATGAAGGAAATATCTGGAATGCTAGAAATATTCTAGATCTTAATCTGCATGGTGGTCGTATGAGAAACCTTGTTGGGATGTTAATTTAAGCTTAACACCATTTATATACTTTAATGTATGCATGTTTCACTTCAGTAAGTAAATAGAAACAAAGATTGCCTGATCAAAGACCTTTATGAGCAGATCTCATTCTGTCTTTCCAGCCTTCTCTCTCACCTCTCACTCCCAGACTGTGCTCCAGAGTCATCAAACTACTTGTCCTAGCAGGTCGTCATTCTCCTCATACAGCTCTTCATCTGCTCATGTTCTTCCCTTGATCCGAAAGACACAAAGAAGTAGAGCTTAACAAATATTAGGGAAAATGAAGTGCCAAATTTTGACTAACGAAAATCACTAGGGCTAGCTCCATGGCCTGGTAGTTAGGCAGCTGAATCTCACATGGCTGACCCTGCAGTTCAAGTTCTGGATCCGGCTGTTTCAGAAACATGCCAAGTGCATGCGCATGCGTGGAAGGAGGTAGAGATGGAGGAGAAGAAATTGCAGTGCAAGCATGCCCCTTAGGGAGTGCTTTCTCCCTCTCATCTCTGATGAGCACACGTGCCCTCTACCAAAATACACACGCACACACACACATACACATACACACACATAATCATTGTATTCTAAGGAAAAATATATTTGCCAAGATATTCCACCAGAAGAGCAATGTGGCATGCCTGAAAATACCTGAGTCTTCAGGTTGCAGAACTAATAAAGGAAAAACTACCTGCTCTTGCACACACACTCATTTCTCCTCCGTGGATGGCTTCCGTATCTCCTGGAAAACGTTTTCAACATGTCTAAGCTGGATACAAGGTAGTAAATCGTTCTGGCTGCTACTCATCTCATTTGCTGCTTCCTCCTTCCTAAGAGATATTCACTCCTCTCTGAGGTAGCCCATTCCCTAGAAGGAAATCTGCCCCATTCCTGACTTCAGGCTCTGGAGCTGGCTAAAGCCAATCAATATCTTTCATTTCATTTCCCCTCCAATAGTCACAGGTTCAAGGATGAGCACATGAGGCATTCTAGTCATAGTGAATCTAGGGTCCTTTACTTGAAAGGCTGGAACAGAAGGGCTGTGATGTGGTTGAGATGAATGAGAAACTGTGGTAGCCATCTTGATTACCCCACACACACCCCAAAGAATGTCAGCCCAGAGAGGCCAACTCGGGACATTCTTTCTCCACCTCAGGACCTCCAGTTACATGTGACAGTACACTCCCCTTTTTGTTTGAATTGGTATTTTCTTTTTAAAAATCGTGTTAAATAGGGGCTGGCAGGTGGTGTGGTGATTAAAGGCACTGGACTCCCACATGGCTGACCACAGTTCAAGTCCCAGACCTGGTGGCTTGCTTTCTCACTTTCCTTCTCTCTCTTATCTCTCTCTTTTGCTTTCTCCCTCTCTGGTCAAATTAAAATAAATAAATAAGTAAACAAAAAAACAAAGTTAGATAAAATGGTTCTTTAAAAAATTGTGTTAAAGGGGGAACCAGCAGTTAGCGTAATGGCTATGTCGCTGGACTCCCACATAGCCGACCGCGGTTCGGGTCCCGGACCCGGTGGCTTAAAACTCACACCGGGCACGTGTGCGTGCATGCCCAAGATCCCGAGAGGAGAATGGAGGAGAAGGGATTGCGGCGTGACCATCCCCCCTGGGGGGTGATTTCTCGCTTTCTGTCTCTATGTCTCTCTCTGTCTGTCTGGCGAGTGCACGCGCCCTACAGTGAAAATCTCTCAAAAAAAAATTGTGTTAAATAGGGACCAGCAGTTAGCGTAATGGCTATGTTGCTGGACTCCCATGTAGTCAACTGCGGTTCAAGTCCCAGACCCGGCGGCTTAAACTCACACAGGGCGTGTATGCATGCATGCCCAAGATCCCCAGAGGAGAATGGAGGAGAAGGGATTGCAGTGTGGCCATCCCCCCAGGGGGTGATTTCTCGCTTTCTATCTCTCTGTCTCTCTCTGTCTTTCTGGCAAGCGCACACGCCCCATAGCAAAAGCCTCTCCAAAAAAAAAAGAAAAGAAAAATTGTGTTAAATATACACAACGTAAAATTTACCATTTTAATCATTTTTAAAAGTACAGTTCAGTGGCATTAAGAACACTCACATTGTTGTTTTGTTTTGTTTTAGAGAGAGATTTTTGCTATAGGGTATGTGCACTCGCCAGAAAGACAGAGAGAGAAAGCGAGAAATCACCCTCTCACCTAGAGGGATGGCCACACCACAATTTCTTCTTTTCTATGCTCCTCTCAGGATCTTGGGCATGCACACACATGTGCCTTGCATGAGTTTTAAGGTGCCAGGTCCGGAAATCAAACCGGCCGACTATGTGGGGAGTCCAGCGACGTAACCATTACACTGTCTGCTGGTCTCAAGGACATTCACGTTGTTATGTCCATCTCCAGAACTTTCCATCTTACAAAACTGAAATCCTGTACCCATTAAACAGGGATCTCAGTCCCCCACAGTCACCCAGCTCCTGCCAAGCACCATTCTACTTTCTGTTTCTGTGAATTTGACTACTAAGTACCTCATGCGAATGGAATCGTACAGTATGTATGACTGGTTTATTTCAGTCAGCATAATGTCTTCAAGGTTTATCCAAATGTGTCAGAATTTTCTTTTCTCCTTTTTTAAAAATTTGCTGCAGGGCATGTGCACTCACTCACTGGTAAGAGAGAGAGAGAGAGAAAGCAAGAAAGAACCCCTGCCCCAAGGGGGAGCACATGCACCCTATCACAAAACTAAAAACAATAATAATAATTTTTTAAAAATAGAGCCAGCAGAGGATACAGGGGGTATGGTGCTGGATTTCATATGGCAAACTTTGTGGTTCGAGTCCCAGACCCAGTGGCTTGAAAAACACACCAGGCATGTGTACACGTGTGGCCCAAATCCTGAGAAAATGAGGAAAATCAATTGTGATGTGACCATTCCTCCAGGGGGTTTATTTCTCACTTTCCTACTCTTCTATTTCTGTCTGTCTCGCTCTGGCAAGCATACACATGATAGCAAACCTTAAAAATAAAAAAGACCATGACAGAATGTGCTAAGAATCAACAAAACAAACTGGTAGGAGGAGATAAAAAACTAAGTTTAGTTCAAACTGACTCTCAGTTTGAAACTGTCATCGAACTTTTTATAGCCTCTAGTCTGGGGAAGGAAAGCCTTTTTTTTCTTTGAAATAAAATATTCTGCCCATGGGGACTGGGTTAAGTACTTCTCTCCTGGTCTCTCCCAGCCGGCTGCAGGAATCCTAATGCTCCCATCCAGCACACAGTCATGTCTGTCAGGGTCCACAGCTGCCCTTGACATACAGGTCCATAAGGCCAGGTGGGATTTTTGAGTCATCTCTTCATTTCCCAGGCTCATTAGGTCTGGAACACAGTGGATACTCATTAAAGGTTTACTGAAAGAGTGAATACAGATGCCTAATGAAATGAAGAGTGAGAGACACCACAGAAGCTATAATTCTTTTTTTGAGAGATTTTTGCTATAGGGCATGTGTGCTTGCCAGAAAGACAGAGACAGAGAGACAGAAAGTGAGAAATTACTCTCCAGGGGGATGGCCACGCCACAATCCCTTCTCCTCCTTTCTCCTCTCAGGATTTTGTGCATACACGCACACACACCCAGTGTAAGTTTAAGTCACCAGGTTTGGGATTCGAACCGCAGTTGACTACATGGGAGTCCAGCAACATAGCCATTATGCCAACTGCTGGTCCCTAGAAGGTATAATTCTAAAGGCAACTGCAAGAAGCAAAATTCAAGATGTCTAGGCAGCAAAAGAGCCTGCATGCAGAACTGACCTAGAAGAGACAGAAATGATGGAGATCAATTCCTATAAATGAAAGAAGGTTGTCAAAGAGAGGTTGCCAAAAAACTGCCCTACTCCAAAAAAGCAATAGGTCCAGATAGTCTCACACAAGGAATTCTCCCAAATGTTTAAAAAAGTAGATAATTCTAGTGTTTTTTAATTGTTCCAGAGGATTAAAAAAAAATTGTGAATTCTTTCTGTGACATAAGTATACCATTGACACAAATCTTGATATTACACACACACACACACACACACATATAAATAGATAGATCCTTATCACTTAGTCATCAGTTAAAAAAATCCTCAAAAAAATTAGCAATCAGACTTCAGTACCATAACTAAATGTATATTTTAGGGCACAGGGACGTTTTAATTTTATGAAATTCACTTACATAATTAATCATAATAAATAAATTTAAGGAATAAAATTATGCGATTATCTCCTTAGACACTAAGGGCACGTGAAACCATGTTCTTGATAAAAAAAGAAAATTCAGCAAGATATAAAGAGATACTTTGGGCCAGCAGGTGGTGTGATGGTTAAGGTACTGGACTCCCACACTGCCAAACACAGTTTGAGTCCTAGGCCCGGTGGCTTAAAATTCATGCCAGGTGTATGTGCATGCGTGCCCAAAATCCCAAGAGAAGAATGGAGGAGAAGGGACTGTGGAGTGGCCATCCACCTGGAGAGGCTAATTCCTTATTCCTGTCTCTTTGTCTCTCCAGCAAGTACATGTCCCCTGTAGCAAAAATCTCTAAAAAAAGAAGGAGAAGGAGAAGGAGAAGGAGGAGGAGGAGGAGGAGGAGGAGGAGAAGAAGAAGAAGAAAGAAAGAAAGAAAGAAAGAAAGAAAGAAAGAAAGAAAGAAAGA